TTCGCCGCCAGCCTCGGCCCTGCGCCAGCTGGTTTTGCCAAAGCGGTCGGTAAAATAATTTCCCCTGCTGCAAGTTTTTTCTTGAAACTCCTAACGTATTAGCTGGGAATGTTAATTCTAATCCTTCACGGCTGGATTTAATTTTTAATGGCATAATAATCAGCAGTACTGATTCTGTGTCAGTTACTTCCAGTTGTCTTGAAACAGGGAGTGGGGTTGGTCTCCTCTTCCTGGTGGTCAGTTCTCCAAAACCTGTAATATTTTTTTAAACTGATAATGCTCGTGTGGATAGCTTCAGAATGCGTTTGTTTATGAGTTGTGATCTCCCTCCTGCAGGGCCTTACAGAACAGCTGTGGTTCCCAGGCTATGGTCTTCTCAAGGCCATGCAAGGGAACGGAACTGGCTTTACTTATTGCTGAATTATGTCTCCAGTAAATGCCTTTTTTTAATTTGCTTCCCTTTTTTTAGCTTGTGGGCAGTTAATGGTTTACCAGCTTTTAACCAGCGTCAGCCCCAGCTTCTCTTGTTACAGCAACATGGATCTTCAGCATAGGAGCCATGGTAAAATCTGTCCCTGAAGTGGTATTAGGACTGATAACTTTTGTAGATCAGATATAAGAGCCTGGAGTATTACAGCTATAAAATGCTTGGGGTGTGAGAAGCTTGACTCTAGAATCCAAGGCAAGGTTTCACTTATACTGGCCAAAGTGTGCTTGGACTGCTTCCCTTGGACAGCTGGGTGAGAAGTGGCCGACGTCCCTAGCTGTTCAACATCACCGTGACAGAGAATAAAGTCAGATGGACTGAACAGCTAGAGGAAGAGAAAAGAAACTCCACATCTGCAGAAATGGAGGGCTTTCTGAGTTGGCCACTGTAGAATATTCTGTACCTGCTCTGTATCTGTTTATTACAACAGCTGGTGGCCACAGGTTTTCATCATTTAATGGGAGGGTCTCCTGGGCTGGGCACAGCTCCCTTCCTGACAGGTTTGTTTGCCAGTACTAATTGTCTAGTTAATTATAGTTGTTACTGAGCACTGGCTGGTATTTTGGGGTGTGAACCTGGAGAGGGATCTGCATGCTTATCTTGGCTTCAGTTGCTGCTAAATGCACAGAAAGCTTGAAAATTGCTCAGAAATGTTAGTGAATAAAAACAGCTGCTCTGAGCTGTGCAGTTATACTTTTCTTTTTTTGAGTTCCAAACTCAAAAAAAAAAAAAAAAAAAAAAAAGCTGCTAAAAAAAAAAAAAAAAAAAAAAAAAAGCTGCTGCTTCTCCTGCAGATGCAATTGAACGTGTTGACACTGACCTCTGCAGCCCTGCATAGTCAGTTTGCCCAAATTGCTGCATTTACTCATAGCAGTCTTGGCTGATTAACCTGGCAGTGGAAATCCAGTGAGATGCTCGATTTGATTGTGTCTGCATTTCTGTGTCTTATATGCAGTAGCGTTCATATTGGAGGACTCTAGCCTTGGAAATGCACGTTCTCATTTAGTGAAAAATTTGAGTTGCGTGAGCGTGTGCTGTAAGGTCATCTTGCCTGGATGGTTTGATAGAATTTCTTTGATGTTGCACCCCAGCAGACTGCGCATATATAAATGCTATCGTATTTTAGGTTTTGATATACGTAATTTAGAATAAACTCGATGTCCTTGTACGTGTTAGTACAGCAAGCTCACCTTTAGCTCATAGGTCTTAACAGTCACATGCTTGAAGGTCTGACACTGTGTCCAGTCGAAAACCGGTTTTTCTATTATGACCTGCAGAGCCACTCATGGGAGTCAGTGGTGTGGGTCCCAGATGTGGGCATAAAGGGAATGCACAAGAGGATCCTTTCTCTTCCTCTGGAAAAGCTGGACAGCCATTGGAAAGGCATCACCAGTGCTTCCTGCCTTTCTTCCTTTTCCTTCAAACCTTTGTGTAGAAGCCAGGAAGGAATAGAGAACCGCAAGCATATAAACAGTTTAGAGTGTGTTTTGTTCTCTGACATGAAAAGAATCATTGCACCCCGTCCTCCCTGCTGTAAGCGCAGCCTGGAACCTAGCATCTGAAATAATAATTTTATAGAACTTTACATGGATTTTTTTTTTTTTTTTTTGCTAGAAACATAAAATTCAGGATTTGAACATCTCCATGTTTTGGAACACCCACAAGAAAGGGAGTTTTTTGCACCTTTCTTTTCTGTTGCATGAAGACAGAGATGAGCAGATAGAAAGAGAACATGCTCTGAGGAAAAATCCTGGGGGAAGGAAAAAAAAGTAGTTTGAGTTTTCTTTTTTAAATAGGAGAAATTTTTAGAAAGGTGATGGAGTTGGCCTAATGTAAACATATCTGAGATTCCTTATGTCTGAATTACAGTGTAAACACTGTTGCCGGAATTGCATGAAACAAATGTGATATTGACTCTCTCCTTCTTCTGTTTCTCAGATCCAGTAACACCTTTTTCCCTACTTCTAAAAGTTGCTAAGGTTTCTCTTGATTTGGACACACTGCTGGTAAGTACGCTGGATCCATCTTAATTAAGACAACATCTGTTTTGTTATTGTCTTAATCTGAAGTTACAATTACAGCTATAAAGTTAGCAGTATTTGCAAGATGGGACAAGTTTCCTCTGATGAGGGGATCATGGATAACTCGCCTACAAATTAACTTTCCCTTGGTAATGGGAAAATGAGCTTTTTTTCTATGTCTTTCCCTTCTACTCCAAGAGAAGGACTAAGGACTCATTCTTTTTTTTTTTTTTTTTTTTTTTTTAAAGCAAACAAACAAAAAACCCCTCAAAACCCAAATACCAACAACAAACAAAAAAACCCTACACCAACCAAATGAACCAAAAAACCAACAGCCACAAAACCCAACCAAAAAAAACCCACCCTTGGTGCATCTACCAGGAACGACCAGCAAAAACAAGGTATGCAGGGTGGCCTAAACACACCTGGCAGCTATAGGATGAACTAGAGACTAAAGTCTTCTGTCCATGTAACTAGTACAGCAGATGTAATAGAAAAATAGGAATTTCCCCAAGCTGTCCAACGTCCTGTCTGCATAGTCCTTGCCATAGCTATACTTTGATAATGTAGGAGAGAAAATACCCCATTTTTTTTCTTCCTCTTTCCTGTATTAGAAAACATGGGTGAACCTCACATCACTTCTTGCCCACCCTGCATTATCTCTGCCCAGATTTGCATCATCTACTGTCACAAATGAGTTTGCAGAAACAGCAGGTTGCTGAAAACGGTTAGTCTTGTGCTTATTCCAGCTGCCTCTCGTAGAGCTCCATCTCAGAGCATGCCCTACCCACATGGAAGTTTTATCCAGGCAAAGGCAAGCTCTTTATGGAAGAGCAAAAGTATCAAGCTTGAGCAGAACCAGATCTGATGCTATATTACATTTACCCCGCAAGCTCACTTGTTGTAGTTCCATTTCCTTGCAGGTTGGTTGTGTTGACCTTACTGAAGCCGAGGTTAAGCATAACATTAAATCAATTATGATGGAAATAAGTCTTGGGTCCCCCTACCCAGGGGGTATCCTATTAATGACCCGCTATCAGAAAAGGTTACTGCTGTGAGAACAGTACCTTGCCTGCGCTCAGCTATTCTTAGCAAAAATATAATGCCATCTCTTCGATGAATAAGGTGCATTTTTAGCATAATTGTGGTTGTCATTATTTCTTTTCAGCAGTGCTTCTTTAAAAGAGTATGGTCGGCACTGAAATGATACCCACGTACCATTGCAACCCTTCAGGGTTAGATGGTGTAAAAAGTAAATAAATGCCTAATGCTTTCTTATGAAACAAATTGGGCTTAATTTATTTGTCTATAAATCAATAAAACACTGGCTAGCTGTATAGCTTGGTAATGCTTGTAGTCTGCTTCTTGGTATACATGGAAATCCCTTATCTGGAAAGTTGCCTGGGCATTTGATGTTTGCAGGTGTAGAGGGATAGTAAGGGATCAGATCTTAGGCTGCAACCATCTCTATAACCTTTCTGAGATACAAACACTCAGTTATTTGTATGTTTATGTAGGTAGAACTTCGGTACCTAAAGAGTTGTTTTCTAACTTTAGACGAATAAGCACAATGCAGTAGAATGATTTGGAAAGAATTTCAGTAGGCGTTTATGACTGAATGGTGCTCAGTGAGAATTTTCAAAGTATTTGCTCATTTTTGGGTACTATAATTTTTAGTGTCTTGCTTCAAGTACACTCTGGGGTGGATGCTCAGTGCCTATAAGGTATTAGGCTTCTTTAAAGTATCTAGCACCCAGGGAAGAGATTACTTAATTTAAGTCTTTTTTTTGGGGTTTTTTTTTTTTTTTGAGGGTTTTTTTTTTTTTAATTAAGTCTTTTTTTTTTTTTTTTTTTTGGGGGTTTTTTTTTTTTTTTGGGGTTTTTTTTTTTTTTTGAGGGTTTTTTTTTTTTTTTGAGGGTTGTTTGGTTCTTTTTTTTTTGAGAGAGAGTTGGGGTTTTTTTAAGGGGTTTTTTTGAGGGTTTTTTTTTTTTGAGTTGGGGTTTTTGGGTTTTGTTTTTTTTAAAGACCCATCACTGAGACTGTTTCCCAGAATGTCTGCAGGCAAGAGGCTATTCTAGGTACTCAGAGAGTGGTTATATTGAAAAGGAAGCAGCATTCTTTAATGTTTGCTCTGAAGAAGAAAATGTGAAAGCTGAAAAGCCATTTGCTTTCCGGCATTGTTCGCATGCTTGGACAGCTGGTTTTGAAAGGCAGAAGTAGTGTGGAAGAGCCGTTAACTGCTTTTGAAAAATCACAGTAAATTACTCAACAGAGCCTTCCCTACTAGTTTGCAGCTCTCATCAACAGCTTAGCTTCTGTAAAATGTGGATAACTGCCTACTTACGCATTCCTTGTCCAGTCTAATGATGCTGGTTTTAAGCAATTCCCTTTTACTCACGCAGCAGTGTGGTAGGACTGAACACGCACGCTGATATTACGTCTGAGCTAAAGAGAGGGAGCTGCCGGTTGAGGAGAGGTGAGCTTCTTAAATCACACTCACTCAGTGATTCACCTTCTCCACCTGGACTGTGTAAAAGTCCATGCAGTGACAGAACTTAAGGCTGCATAAAATCGTGTGTTCAAGTGCTCCTTTTTGATCCTGAACACGGCGAATTTAACAGTCTGTCAGCTGAGCAGTCATAACGGTCTGTGCAGTAATCTGAGGTTTCATTAAAGTGTGAACTTGGTAGCGTTACCTCTGCAAAAGTGTGTAAGGTAAAGAAGGTGCCAGAGAATTACTGCTTACCAGCTGCCATACAAGTTTATTAACCTGGTACAAGTCAACCATAATCAGGCCTGTGTCCATAAACCTTTACCTACTGATTTTTATGTTTTTAATCTTTCTTATTAATTGCAGGAAGCAACTTCTGTGGGCAAGAATGGGCTGCCGGGATGTTCATGCAGCAACAGTACTGGCCTTCCTCAGTGGAACAGCCTCAGTAGCTGGACTCCTCGCAGCAGTTCTGCTTCCAAACTGGAGGCAAATGAGACTGTACACGTTCAACAAGAACGAGAGGAATGTGACCGTTTACACTGGACTCTGGATTAAGTGCGCTCGCTTTGATGGGAGCAGAGACTGTGTGATATATGACCCACAGTGGTACACGGCTGTCGATCAGCTGGATTTGCGTGTTCTTCAGTTTGCCCTTCCACTGAGTATGTTAACTGCTGTCTCAGCTCTGTTTCTCTGCTTGATTGGCATGTGTAACACAGCCTTTGTATCCAGTGTGCCGAACGTCAAATTGGCCAAATGCCTTGTAAACAGTGCAGGCTGCCATCTTGTGGCTGGCCTCTTGTTCCTGCTTGCGTGTGCCATTTGTCTCACTCCGTCAGTCTGGGTCATTTTTTATAACAATTATCTGAACAGAAAATACGAGCCTGTCTTTAGCTTTGACATCTCCGTATTTATTGCCATTGCCAGTGCTGGTGGTCTGTTTTTCACTTCCGTTCTGCTCTTTCTGTGGTACTGCGCATGCAAAAACCTACCTTCTCCTTTCTGGCAGCCCCTTTATTCCCATGCCCCGAGCATGCACAGCTATGCCTCTCAGCCATATTCTGCACGCTCTCGCCTCTCTGCCATTGAAATTGACATTCCTGTTGTGACACATGCATCTTAAGACGACAAAGTCTTGGAAGCCAAGTTCTTGTGCTCATTCAAACCGTGAAAATCGCAGGCTTGATTCTCTTGCACTGAGCATAATCGTTTGTAAGGTCAAGTTTCCCAAGGTGCAAAGCAATGGAGACCTGAGTTCAGCAAGCCTGTTGCTGTTCTCGTGTTTTACCTCCTGATTAACCTTTTTTTTTTTTTTTTTTTTTTTTTTTTTTAACTCTGCGCTCACTACAGACAAAACTGCTGCTAATGCTGGGACAGTACACTAGCAATAGTATCCACTCATCCTCTGCTTACTGAGATCAAAGCAGGTGTGAAACTCTTTGCTGTTTGGTAAACTATGATTAGATTCTGATCCCCTTGTAGGAGCTACGTAGGTGGACCCTTGCACCCATCCCATGAGTTACCCAAATGCAGGCAGTGGAACTGGGTGCAGGGGGTTTGCCGAGTTTCTCGTTCGCCTAGACACACGCGTTTTAAGATGTGATGTCTGGAAAGGGTATTTGGCAGACTAATTCAGTTCTGTAGCACTGTTCTTTGTTTTCCACTGCACGCACAAAAAGCTACCTGCTTACAAACTTCTGTAATAGAATTAGTGTCAAATTACCCTTTATTTTCAAAGTAGCTATCAGAAGAAATAAAACTAATTTAACTAATAATGTTCTTCTGTACTGTAATAGCGTTCTGTGAATTACTGGAGGCTAGAAACACTTTTGTGGATTTTATTTCTAGTCTGTTTTTTAATAAGTTAGCAAATTCACTAGATCTATTTTGTGATTAAAACAAAAAAAACCACTTGTATTTAAAAATTCTGTTTAGAAGCTTGCATATTTTATTTGAAGGCCATCTCAAAGATGGATTTTCAAGTAGGCTTTAAAGTATTATTCAGAAATGTCACTCACTGCCAAATGGATTAGGAAAACCATGAAGAATTCTGAAGGCTATGAAAGATTCTTTTGGAACACTGTACACAAGCTATAACAACATCTCTCTAGGAAGGGGATTATAGCCCTGGGGAGAGATATTTAAATCTAGATTATTTTTTTTTTTAATGTATATTCAAGTAACAATGAGCTTGTGTATTTTTCAGGGTTGATTGTTATGGTTGTTGGACTTTTCATGCTGTAGCTTATTTAATTACTGATTAAGACTTAACCTTTTCAGCTTTGTCCTTCAACACCTTTCAAGCTGAGCTATTTTAAAATCCAGTTATTTCCTGTGCTGTCACCTCACAACTGGAGGAAGTTTCCCATTCATATTTTCTGTAAGATGAGGTTTTGAATAACTTCTGAGCTTTGCCTTGTCGCTCTACAAGGGTGAGGAGGGATTATAAATTCCCAACCTGAGATGTCTTTAAATCTTTTTTTTTTCCTTCTAAAACGCAGAGCAGGTCAGCCCTAAGGATCAAAGCTTTTTAATATGGGCATTGAAATTACTTGGAAATTTGATAACAGTGAGTTGAAGAGTGTTATAATTAAGGCAAGTATTTGATTTGCTCAAGTTTTGGCAAACTGAGATCTTGTGTTTAAGATGTCGTTCCAGTGAGGAAAGTTGTTTTGATTGGTGGCGTTCTGGAGCTTAGTGGACAGTTGTGTTTTATTAATCCCAGAACAATTTTGCTTTGCTAAATAATCAAATGGAGTTCTTCAGTTCCAGTTCTGCAAACTCATCTGAGGTCCTGACAGTCAGTTTGTTTTCCTTCCCCATGCGTTAGACATAGGAACAAATGCAGTGCTGGGCAAATCTTGTTCTGTTAGAATCTGTGCAATAACAGTTTATTAAGAGGAATCATTTTGTCTTTACTGTTAGGCCCTGGGCTTTGGTAGACTGAATGAGGAAGCTGATCTCTGTCATAAATTCCCAGCATAGTCAGCGAAGTGACAGGCCTTTCAGACAGAGCGCTTGATTAAATTGCAGTCTAAGGAATTAACACTACAGATGATAAAGAATATTTAAGGAAATAGGCCTCTAAAGTTACATGAATTTGATACCGTCTTAGGTTTGCACAGTATGTTGTTAGATGAAGTATCTTTTTCATTTAATTGGATCATGACTTGCATGGACTTAGAACGTGTATAATGACATGCAAGCCAGCTTTTTTTTTTTCTTGAAAATTAAACTTTGTTTTAGAGTTACTCTGGCTGTCCATCCTTAGATGCTGTTGCTGTTTCAGCTGCCCATACCCTTGGGTGCTTTGTCAGGTCAAAGCAAGGGGCCCACTGGTTTGTGATTTCACATCAGCTTGCTTCCCCATCGCTCCCAGTGTCTGTCCTTCTTTGTGCCTTGCTTAAGTTACACATTGGCCAGTAAATGTTGGTTTACAGTCAGTGTCTGGTGTGCTTTTTGAGCCTGAATTTACAAAGCATTTTGATCATTTTGAAGGGATGATGAATACAGCTCTCAGTGATTTTTAAAAGGAGCTGAATCTTCAGCATCTCCAGAGCAAGAAAGGCAGCCTGGCAAGCTGATGTTTTCTATAGAGATGAAACGCAGCCAGTGTTTTGTTCTGTACACTTTAAATAGCAGATGTCTCTGACAGCTGTTTTGTATTCTGACTTTGATTTTTACGCTCTAAACTTTTAATCAGTATTTGCTGCTGCCTAAGCTGATGATTTGTCGCTTTGAAAATTGTGTCATTCTAAAAGTCCGAGATGAATCTGAGTAACGAAAAGTGGGGATCCAAAAGTTAGTGGATTCCAGCATAGGTTTCAGTTAAGGTCATCTTTATCAAAAAGACTGTTGCATCTGTTGTGTCACCGAAGCACAACTGGGTGTCTTTCAGTGGTGCTGTTGACGTGAGTTTCTGCTGGATCCTAAGTGAAATTAACTGGAAGCGCTGTGCTGGATTGCTCCTTCATTACAGAAGAGGCGGCCAACCTGTTACGTGTGAGCCGAGTGCTGCTGTGGCACTTCTCTTGCTAAAGTTACCGTGGTGCCCAGCAGCAGAGCTGGGGAGGGACAGGCCTCCCTGGATTTGGGGGGAGGAACCATGTATCCCGCATGTACCCCTGTCAGGGAAGAGCTGCTACGGAGCAGTCAGCGCCCCTGCCTCTGGCCAGCTGCACCTTCCCAGGTGCTTTGCTGTGTGCAGGGCAGGCACCGGGGGCCTGGGGCACAGGAAGATTTTAATTTGTGGCTCATGCAGTCTGAGGTTGGGTGCTCTGGGATTACAGGAATCTGTTTGGGTTTTTTTTCCAAGTAATTCCTGTCCAACTTCTTAAGTTGTGTTGAATTACAGTGTTGGTTCTTTTTATGTGAAACAGAAGATATGTATTTTTAATAAAACATTCTCATACAGGTGCCAATTATTTTGATTAATTTTATGGAAAACAGTAACTGCTAGAATATGGAAGACTTTACCTGTTTTGATATTGATGGCCAGACTGTTTCAGACACCTGAACAGGCTTAAAATGTTGCGTATACTGCATTTTAACTCCCTAATTTTACAGGACTCCTGCTTTAAACAAAACCAAAAAAAACCCAACAAAAACCCCCAAACTTCTGCCACCTTCTGAAAGCTTGACTGTTATTTATAGTTTCCCTTTATTTTTATTGTAAGCTAGACCTAAGAAGTTCTAGGATTCCTTTTCCCTTTGAAAGGAGGAGGGTGATTTCCCTGCCTGGGGCCAGGATGCGGGCTGGGGGCCGGGGTCTGGTTTGGCCCCGCAGCAGAGCCACAGCACCGGTGTGACAGGTAACAGAGCACAGTCCTCGCCCTGCGCCCAAAGTCTCTTTCCTTGTGTTGGTGCTGCTGCTTAGCCAGTGCAACTCGCTAACCCAGCTGGAAACTTCCATGCTGGGTTAGTTTTCTCCTAGGCTGGTAAGATTTGCATTGTGTTAGTGTCACACGAGAAAGGCGGTGGTGGCATTAGCCGCCCTCCTGCCCGCTCCCCGCTGCTGTCCCGGCTGTGCTGTCAGCTGGAGAGCGTGCTACCGCCTTACGTGTGGAAGTCGTTGGGGCATCCCAGGGACTTGCGACAGTAGTGGTTTGAGGTGCTTCATTTCTGTTGCGTGCTGCTCCTGGCAACTGCAGCTCGGCAGCGTTACGGTACCGAGCCTTCCCCCGCTGTTATGGGGCGAAATACAAACCCTTTGAGCGTTAGAAATGCTGATGTCATACTGCAAGTTCACAAAACAACCTGGATTACTTATGCAGAATATAAGGCTCACTGGTAATTCCTCTGTAGGTTTCTAGTATTCTGAACTGGAAATCTAGTAAGTTGGGGTTTTTATCTGGGGAAGTAGTGTTTATATGAGAACAATTCTCATGGAGTAGGCATGTTATAAAGCAGTTGTTGCCAGTACTACAGGTCACTTGAGGGGGTGGAAAAATGATTCTGTATTCTCTGCTTCTGTGGGTTCATTTCTGCCTTTGCTGTCACTTTCAGACAGGCCTCTTGTCTCTGAGAGCTGGCATAAACCTAGGGGCTAGTTGGGTGTTGACATGAGTACTGGGATGTAGAGAACTCAGTTCCTCCCAAATCATGGGAATGCCTCATTTTTTCACGTTAAAATTCCTAAAAATCTATCCATTTATTTGTGCTCATTGAAAACAAATCTCTTGGCAGATTTTCCCATTTTATTTAATGGGAATTGAGATCAAAAAAAAAGCGGGCAGGTAACACACCTTGGATGCGGCATAAGCTTTTTTGCACATTTTTTGTTCCACTGCTGCATCAGCATTTGTCAAGCTGCACGCACAGAGGCCTCATCGAACGGTAAGAGGGTGGTTTCTGATTTCAGTACTGCTTATTAATCTATGTTCCAAACAGTCAAGTTGCTCATTCGGGTATTAGGCTGCTAGGGATGGGGGCTTTGTCTTTTGGGTAGTAGAAATTGTGGTGAGCTGGAGGGTGAGTGGTTAAGGCTGTTTTGAGGAGAGAGACCAGAGAGCTGGACTTCAGGAGCAGAACCGATGTCCTAGTTTCTGTTCTAACAAAGAGAAAAATGTGTAATTAAAGCTCTAAGTATTTGAATAAGCTTCACTCAGCACCAGAGACTCCCAGAATACGATAAGCAAACTGAAAACATGGTGGACGAGTACTGCCCAAGCAGTACATGTCCTTGGGGACCACAGGTGTTGACCCAAGTGCTGAGCCCTGCTTCTGAGCTACCTGCCACTGCCAAGGGTGACATTTGAGCACCAAAGCTTGCCACTCTGCGGTCTCTCCGTAGTCTCACTCCCCATATTCCAGCACTTCTACCCCTTAGAGGGTCTGTAACCGCTGACACTGCACTGGTTTTCTTCCTAAAGCCACAACATATTTGTAAACAAATAAGTAAGCTCGTTTACAAATTCACATAGGAGTTTAAATAAATACTAGCAGTTATGTCAAAAATAAATCAAGTATTTCCTACAACAGGTCCCGGATGTACCTTAACTCACTGCAGACACTTTCTGACCTACAGGCCTCAGCATGTGATTTTTTTGGTGGACTTTAAGCAGATGGAAGTATTGCCTCCTACCACAAGATGAAATCTCATCTTCTTGCTCCTTTTGCTATTTACCTTCTCTGCTTATTTAGTTTTCAGGCGGCTAATCTGGTCTGCCTCCTGGTCACGAGCTCTACTGCCCACACAAAGGAGGCAGCGGGAACATGTGAGTGGAAGTGGAAGTAAAAGGGCAAGACTGGCAGCCTTAGGTTGTTTCTTCCTGAAGCCTTACTTTGAGACCTTTGTTTTCTCACTTAATGAGCAATTTACATAAGAAAGACTGCATTAATTTGAAAATTGTTTAAGGTAGGTTGTGTTTATTAATTGTAGAAATTGCTGAAAAATGCTGCATTTTGAGAAACACATTGGACTTATTAGCAAGGCAAAAAAATCATGTTTCAAAACATTTCAAAGTTTGTTCCCTTTTCTTTCATCCTAATTCACCTAGAAATAGCAGGTATGGCAAGGAAAAAAGGTAATGGAGCATAAAAGGGAGTTGACTTTTTTATTGAATTTGAAGATTACACTGCTTTAAACTACATATGTCTTAAGAAATCTCAACTGATAATGATATTAGTAAGGAAAAGAGCTGGTTTTTTAACAGATGAATAGTACCAAATATTAAGATAT